CATCCAAACTGCCCTTGTTAACTAACAATTGCCCCAGCCCCCCCCCCCCTCCACCTCCGGCCCCTGAAAACTTTGTTTTCTATCACATAAACTCTAATGAAGTAAACTGTAAAATAGTAAATAAATACATAAATAGTAAACTAAACAAAAATAAACAACAAAAACTTTAACATAAATGTACAGAGTAAATGACATTTGAATTCAGGAGCTAATATTAAATTAATCAAACCACATCCAGTGGTTTAATTTTCTTTATGTCTATGAGTCTAGTTCAGCAGCACAGCCCCTTTTGCCAAAGCTTGTATCCTGTATTCTGAGGAAAATGATTCATACTTTAAAAAGAAAAAACAAAGTGTCAGATGTTGGCTGAATTGTATTTGCGTAATACTTCTAATGAACAGGTGAAAAGTTAGGAAAAACAACATAACATTGTTTCATCCATTAGTGTGAGCTTCTATTCTTCCGAAGAACTCAATCATTGATTGTCCACGTGTGTTTCTGTAGAAAAGAATCTTCCAAACAGCTCCAGCGTGGAAGTGGAGGTGACCCCACCTATGAACGGAACAGCAGGGCAAGAGGGAGAGACGGTAAGACACCATTAAACGCAAACCAGCAACGTTTAGACCGGATCAGTGAGACCATTTTGCAGTTAGGGAAACATTTATGAATAGTTTATGCCTTTGATTTGCTCCTTTGTTCCTCTGCGAGTGTGAAAAGGTGGCGCAGATTACGGCACAGGCCACCGCAGCTGATAATTTCCCAGCATGCACCCCTCCAATTGTGGCCGGACCTGCCGACGACCCCGCCTCTTCCCACAGAGTCCTCGCTCACCTGCGGCTCGCCGCCGCTGGGTGCTCCAGGCGAGACCCCTTTGACGAGCGGCCACACGCGGCACCGAACCTTCAGCAGGTTGTGCTGGCATTAAAAATGGCGGCGGGACGTGGCGGCCCGCCGAGCGAGCAGACGGTCCTGGCACAGATGGGCAGCGAATCAAAGTCACATGTTTTCGAAGAGAACAGACAACAGATGTGTTGGAATCTCTCCCTTTATATCAGTAACTGGGAACATGAGCTAAACCACAGGGCATTTTCAAACTTGGTGAAATCTCAGTCGCCTGGATTGACTTATTCATGTTTTTGGCACCAAGCAGAAAATAATAATAAAATATATTGGAGTTCCAGATAATAACATCAAAAGATCATGCCACAAATCCATGAGGGGGTGGGGGAATTTTACTGCCATAAGCTGAGAGCTTACATTTTAAATTGGAGAGCAGGATTTCATCTCTCTGCTCTCGAAACTTGCAATGCTTGGACTCAAAACTTTTACGCTCTTTCAATTTTCTCCTCGCACGCAGACTTCCTCTCTCTGCGCGAATCAAATTCTGCGCTCGCAAAATTCTCCACTCCTTTGCAAATTCTTTTCTACTCTCTCCTGCACCGTCGCTTAGCAACCGTCACAGCCAATAGAATGACGGCGTTGCACCGGGTGCGCTTGATAATATCTAGTGGGTGTGCTTGTGTGGCTACAATAGATAGCTGCATTTCCTCTTCTGGCGACGTATAGAAAACAACTTCGGCTTTCTGCTCCTTCCTCCGTGTTTGGAAGTCATGACATGTTTACCAAGAAGTAATTGTTTTTTTTTGTTGTTTTTTTTTTTGTTTTGTCAAATTAATGGTTTTCCAACTGAGCAAAACTTAAAAGAAAGATTTTGGCCATCTCTCTGCTCTCGCCTGCGATCGTTTTGTCATGTAAGTGCAAAACTGATAGCATATCTGTGTTCGTTGTAGTCAATATCTACTAAACTCATCTTAAACACAGGCTCCTCGTTTTTCTGATACTGTTTTAGACTACATTTCGTGCAGCAAAAATGTTTTAGCCTGGCACCCATGTTGATGATAAAGCCAGTTAAAATAGATAGGTTTTTTTTTTTACTAGGTTTAACTCACCTGATTCAAGCGATTGCATCTAAAACATGCAGGGCGGCGTGGCTTTAGAGCCACGTTTATAAAACACTTCAATGTTATGAAAAGACTTGCTATGCACCAGATAAGCTACAAACATTTTCAATTAAAGGTTTTATTGGCTCTAGTGGCCTTTATTTGATAGTTAATTGACAGGAAAGTTGGTAATGAGAGATGGGGAAAGACATGCAGCAAAGGTCACCAGGCCAGGAATAAAACCTGTGACAGCTGCGTCGAGGAGTAAGGCCCTCCATACATGGGTTGTGCTTAACCCCTGCGCCACCACAGCACACCTGTTTTCAGTGATTTCTTACTGCAGACTTCATCCATAACACATTTTAATGTCGGTTGCATTTTCTGTTGAATCTGTTATAGCTTGACTGAATTTTGGTCAAAATAACTTATTTCCATAAGAGCCCAGATGAACACTTTCTGTACATTGACACCTTTGTAAAAGAAACGGTAACACTTTATTTGAAGGGGGTTGAATAAGACTGACATAACACTGTCATAAACATGACATATCACATGTCATGAACATGAATAAGCCTTCATGAATATTTATAACTGTTGTCATAAAGCGTCATTTGGTAAATTATGACACTTTTAATACAAAGTTGACATTATTCAAAATGTCTTTGTTATGACAACTTGACATTAACCAAGAAATCATTACTGATTAAACTTTACCTTTAATAACATAAAGTTACCTAATTTTTAAAGTGCAATCAGTAATACGTTTATAACGAATTTATATCAGTGATGATTTCTTGGTTAATGTCAAGTTGTCATAACAAAGACATTTTGAATAATGTCAACTTTGTATTAAAAGTGTCATAATTTACCGAATGACGCTTTATGACAACAGTCATAAATATTCATGAAGACTTATTCATGTTTATGACAGGTGTTATGTCATGTTTATGACAGTGTCATGACAGTCTTATTCACCCCCCTTCAAATAAAGTGTTACCAAAGAAATTAATAATCTCGATGGATTTCTTTCCCAGAAACAGGTAGAATTTAGGCTTTTTATTTATTCGCAGTCTAAGAAGTGGGCAGATAAGCAGACAGCTTGGTTAATATGCACCACTGTCTATTTTTTTTTTTTTTTTTTTTTTTTTTGATGACAAGATGTTGAAGAAAAAATAAAAAGACATAGAAACACCAATACTCACTGGGACAAAAATCCCCTGGCCTATACTGCTAACTGTTAACCCTCCTATATTCTTCTCCAGAACGATTGAGGACAAAAACAGGAATGTAAGCAAGATAAACTGTAGTTGAAAACAACTTTAAAAATTGGATTCCGAGTTATGTCATATTAAAGTATTCCAACTATAAAGGGGTCGTTGGTACGGCTAGATAAGCAGGATCTGCTTCGTTCTCTTGGCATTTAGTACGATTACAGTCTTATGTAACTCTCATCAACTGTTGTCTAGAAAATCAATCATTTTACCTCAATTGTGAATTATAACTCACTATGTTAATATTCTTTCTACTTCAGTAAGATGGCCTGGTGTTTCAGAGTATTTTTAAAGCATGTAAACTGATTAGCAGCTTTACATAAACTGGTTTCAGTCATACCCAGGTAAAATTATACAGTTTAATTATCCTCCCTTGAATTGTTTCAGCTTGAAGTGTAAAACATTATCGTTCTTTGCATGAAACGTTGCTGCTGTGCTGGTTTGGGAGACCGTTTTCTATTCCTGTGCAAGTGCTGGAGACTAAAAATGCCAAACTGGTGTGGGAGTCGCACTGAAGGATATCGGAGTACAAAATACGGTCATGTCTGTATCGATCCACTGCACTGCAAGTTATATTCACATTCTCCAGTAATGCTTTGGGTTAAAAATAGTAGAAAAAAAAAGAAAGACAGAAAGAAACAGCCCTCTAGCTGTAGAAAAATATCTGCTTCTGTTAAAGAGAAAACAATCCCTCATCTTTCCCGAATCACATAAAAGCCTCTGATGTGATTCCATAAAAACGATCCCTTCAGGACCGCAGCGGTGAAGACTCCTTATTTGTGTGCATATACAAGAGCATTTCTCAGGCGGTGACTCACTAACTTTGATAGACCTGGATGCTTATTGGCACGCCTAATTCTTACATGCTGCTATTTTTAGACCTCCGTCCCACAGTGCACCCGTCTGTGTCACCCAGGAAGTTACTGGAAATTGCTCACGCCATCGTGTTGCCGCCAGAGGCCCCGTCGTACTGGCTGTTCCATTCCTCCTCCGAAGCCTTGGCAACAAGGCATTAAGGGGATTGTTAAGGTCAAATTCAAACCCGAGGCAGACGTGTTGTGCAGTTTCTTAATAAAACTCTTAAGAGACAAATGACATGTTTCCGACAATATAAGAAGATAAGTGGGGTCGAGAGTGTGATTCAGAGCAAAATCTCGTTCTACGTTTTGGATTTCCGACCCGTCTCGATCACAAAGCAAAGAAGTTTGAGCATCCTGTGACTCGTCACATAAAAGGGATTCAGAGAAGTCCGTGCAGCGTGTGTCATGACAGGATTTAATGCCAGATTTGCTTTTCCCTTTGAAGAAAATGAGGAGAAGTTCATGTCTAAATGAAACGCGTAAAAACAACAAAAAACATCCAAGCCTTGATGAATACTGTGAGAAAATGACTGAAGGTGTTGAAGTAAATCTGTTTTGACATAAATTGACATAAAAAATAAAAAAAATCTCTCACTTTAATCCCACATAAGTACAGTATGTGCGTTCTGCAGACAGGTCACTGTATTCTGCCCGTTTCTTGTTGCCTTGCAAGCTGAATCAACAAATGCGTCACGTCTGATGGCTTACTTGCACTTTCTTTGAACGATTTTAGCCCGAGTAATGTTGGTCTAACACCAGGTGCCAAGAGCAAACGCTCACCTCCAGAAGAAGAAGAAAAAAAAAAAAAAACATTATCTAAATGTCAGGCCACCCCTTGCATCTCTGTGGTGTCTGATAAAAGTCAGTCCCTTTAAGCGCAGAGTTGGCAGTGTTACCAACTGAGGCACCACAAGGCAGGAAAGGCCCCCGAGGGGCTGGCATTTCAGAACCAGGCTAGAGTCGGGGGCACCAGCAACATGGGACGCTTTAGCTCACAAAGCATGTTGAGCAACATCACACACACAGGCAGAGTTACGGTTTAGAACCTGAATCCATGCAGAAGCTGCTCTGCAAATCCAAAGAATATATCACAGGTGACAGGTACAAGATGAAATTTGTGAAACCTGCGAGAGAGGTGGCTGATTAGCACCCCTGGTCAGCTACCGGAATAAGTTCAAAAAAAATTTTTTTTAATTCCTTCTTTTTTTTTGCTCTGTTTTTGTTTGGTTGTTTTTTTTTCTTTTTTGTTTGTTTGTTTTTTGATCCAGTCAAAAGTCTCACACTTATTCACACCCTTGCTGGTAAACTCTCATTCTTTCACGGTGAGCAGAGGTGTCAATACATCTGGAGAGAAATGGCATAAAAAACCCATCTTCAATTTATTTACTATTCAAAAGGAGATTTATTAGGAGAAGTAGATTTTTGTTCAGCCTTTTATCCTTTTTTTATCTTAAGATTTTATGAGAAAGTTCTCTATATTTTTTTTTATAGCTAATTAGTGAGTTTCTGAAAAATAATTAATTGTTTTTGTTACATCTGACGATGAAGGAGCTTACTCATGGGAGCAGCTGGTGGAGCTTTCTGAAGAAGAACAAAAATAAATAAGTAAAAGATGCCATGGAACAGAGAACAAGATGGTTTAAATGTCAAATTTCACTTCATCCATCTTCATCTCTGCCAAAATAAGGAATAAGTAGAAAAATTAGGAATGAATTGTTGTTTACTCCAAGTGTTCCTGGAGCTTAATCTGAATATTATTGAAAACTGACCAAATCTTCCACATTGGTGCATTAAAGTTGCCCTAAAAAAACCCTCCACTTTACATCCATCTCAATTCCGACGGAATTGAGATGGATGCGTCTGTGGTCAACGTATTTCAGTTATTTTCCGTCTTTTATCTCCTCCTCCTAAATAATCTACCATGCAGCAATATAAAATTCCCTTTTGGGGATTATTAAAGTCTTATTAAATCCAATCCAGACAACAATGCAGCCATCTGGATATGGAGAACAGGTAGAGATGCGGATGCAGAGCAGGAGAGAAGCGAGCGCTGCCTTTTGTTAGGCAGCTCTGATTACCAAGGTTACCGAGCGATGCTTAGCAGCTGTAGCTGTCACAGCAGGACCAGCGTCACATGATTCATGAATCGTGCTAAAGCCTTTTCCTTTTTTTTTTTTTTTTTTAAAGATTGCTGCTTCGCTCTGATGGTATGCAGAGCAGATCTAATTGAGAATGTTAAGGATTTCTTGAAGTAATCACAGTCCACGATGCAGCAGCCGTTATCAGCAGGTGTCTCACTGTACGTCCCGCTTCTCGTTGTTTTTTTATGCCTCGCCAACGTCTTTCACGCAAGGGCAAAGAACAAGCTCTAGGTCATCCACACATGCACGTGCGAACGCGCTCTTCGCTCGTTCCCGCGGTCTGTTATCAGCTCCTGTAATTGGATTCGAAGGAGAAGAGACAAATGTCTGCTGCCAGAAGTGTCTGCGGCCGCACCACTTCGCTTCAGAGGCAAGGCGAGCCTGTGAGTTGATAGAAAATGTGATTTAGCCGCGGGGATGTTTCGCGGTAATCACCGACTCTCTGTGGCTTACTTGGCATTCTGGCAGCGGGTCCGGTCAGAGCCCCCAGGGGGGGGAGGTCGGGGCCGCAAGGCCGACATCAGCAGTCGACGCTGATGAGTCCCGCTGGTGACAGAGAGCCCGTTGAGCTCCGCGCAATCACCCAAATCGGTCATCAGGTGTGTGCGTCTTACAGGGGTAGATCAGGATTTTTGAAGAGAAGTTCTAGGTTAGAAGCCGCTAGATTCCTCTCCTGACGTATTAGTTGGTTGGAGGCTCAAGACGGTGGCTTGTCCAAGAGGAGCCAAGACCAATGCAAACTTGCACCGTGCTAAAACAAATGAAAACTCAAAAATATCACACAGATTTGTCCAAACAGTGTTTTAAATTTTCTAAATTTGCATTGGATCCAATTCAATTTTTGCATTCTAAAATTGCATTATTTTCAGTTTGCTCACAAACTGAAAATAATTTATACGAGGAATAGAGTTTGGAGATGCACCACTGATGATCCACCAGTGTAAAACTGGAACGTGTAAACCGAACTAAAACACACAAAGCGTTTCTCTTCAGAGTAACTGCATAATGTGACCAAACCATAGTGAAAAGCAAAAATATTAAAGATGTTTAAGTTGTTCATTATTGATTTTGACACTTCCTTACCTCACTATGAGAACAATTTGGACGTATTGTTTATCTTTGGCACAGTGTTGGCTACTCTCATTAACGGTACATTAAACATAAATTATTTTGCAATAAAAACAAAACAAAAATGATCAGAGTAAGTTAAATGTACATTTTAGTGCCACTTTTACTTGGAAAGACCAAGATCTATTGGGCTCCAAGAAGTTGTCATTCACAATATGGCCGACACGCAGTTGGACCAAGGCGGTCTTTTTCTCACACTTTTTTTGTTCTGTTTTCAGAACGGGATATTTGGTTGTGTTCCGCCGTAATTAACCGATCAATGCAACCTTTGTGACAGGTTAGAGGTTCTAAAAGTAGGAAATGTACAAAACGGTTTGGATCGGTCATTAGTTTCAACCTCCCTGACAAGCTTATTTGGATTTATATGAAAATGCCAATAGAGTGTCTTCTCCAGGTGGGATGTTAACTGTTAATAGCCTTTCCACAGAACCTTTCTTTGAGAATCCTGAGCTGTCCGTCAGAGGTAAGCGAAGGCCTGCAGACCTCTGCGCGTCGTCGTGCTGCTGCCTTCCTCTTTTGTGACGGTTGCTATGGGAAGATGCATTCTGATGAGACTATTTATCAACCTGAAGGACTGTAGTGGATTTTTTTTTTCTCCATCACCCTTTAATGCACAGGCAGAAAGCATGACTCAGCCCATTAGGTTATTTTCTTCGTGTTTAGCTGCTAATTATTTCCAAATGGTGGACTGAATTATATGGACACCGGCATGGCAGCGATACGAGACAGCCTGAGACTGACAACAAACAAACAAACAAACAAAAAACGCAGCATGTTTTAATGTGTGTAATGGGTGGTTTCATTCAGTTTATTTTAATATAACAGCTGTTTCATTTTTTTTTTCTACTTCTTCTTCATCTTGTGACATCTGCTGTCAGGCTGAAGATGAGGAAGAGGAGGACCAGCCTCTGAGCCTGTCCTGGCCCGAATCCAACCGCAAGCGCTTCACCTACCTCTTTATCATACCCATCGTCCTCCCCCTGTGGCTGACTCTTCCCGACGTCAGGAAAACGGTGACTTTCCGAAACTTTTTTCAGAGAACTTCTTCTCTCTTCTTAGACAAGATTTTGTTTTTTTTGTTTTTTACCACCTTTTCTTTTTCTTTTTCCTTTTCAGTCGTCAAAAAAGTTCTTCCCCGTTACATTCTTGGGGGCCATCTCCTGGATTGCGGGATTCTCCTACCTAATGGTGTGGTGGGCTCACCAGGTACACACAGCACAACGAGTTTTGATTTGAAAGTATCGGTGCGGATACACAAAAAAATAATAATAAATGCCTTTCAGTAAGCATAATCCCTTTCTAGTAAACAAAACTCTTTGTCTCCCCCCCCTTTTCTACATCCTTTACATTTGATTAAACATCGTTACGGCCGTCTCTTTCAAAACATAGCTGACTCTCTGAGTTTTGCAGCGCCGAAGCATCACAAGGAATTTAAAAATAGCCGCAACAAAAGATGAGGTTGTATTTACCCCGAAGCTTATTTTTTTCTCATTTATTTATTTCTCTCTTTGCAGGTTGGCGAGACCATCGGGATTACAGAGGAGATTATGGGTCTGACTATATTAGCAGCTGGAACCTCTATCCCCGACCTCATCACCAGTGTCATCGTGGCACGCAAGGGGCTGGGCGACATGGCCGTATCCAGCTCTGTGGGCTCCAACATCTTCGACATCACTGTTGGGTACGTCACATCTGAGCGTTTTTAAGCCTGCGCTCAACTTCTGGTTGTGCGAACCCTCGAAGTGAAAAGATCACAATCCTCTCCAAGATGTCGTTTCATTTGAACGTATCAGATTTTTGCGTTTTTTTTAAACAATTATTATCTCCTCATGTCAACTCTGGAAATTTTATTGCATCTGGTCATAGCAGCCTCTACGTGTATTTGTTTTTTTTTTCTGGTCATGCAAAATGTGTAAAATTAAATCAATTTAGTTTCATTGCATTATATAATTAGATTTTTTTTTTTTTTTTTTTTTTTTTTTAAAAATTTGAAAAGTTTTTCAGTTAAAATTTATTTCCCTATATAAAAAATTTTTAGTCGGGAAG